GACGACGTTCTTGAATTTGAATCAGTGTGCCGTCAGACTCCTTAATTACCTCACTTACGCCTGCTTTCCTTTGTCCTGTACTCTTAATTAAACGAAAAAGATTGCGACTGTTACCAATAGCCGCAACCTTCTCCATCTCTCTACACTTTCCTTCTCACCATTTCTCGCGATCATTCCTCAGACTCTTGATGAGCTGGCGTTCAAGGGATTTGCGCGCTGTAGCAAACGTAGACAGGGCTTTGCGGACGTCCAACAGGGCCGCCGTGGTCGACGAGATCCATTGTTTGTATTCTGAACCTGCGCCAGGGTCCGACGTTTTTTTTTAATGATGTTTGCATAGCATCCTTGATTTGCTTCCGATTTTCATTGAGTCATTGTTAAATTAACCCCATCTGTCTTCCCTAATTCTTGAAAAAACTGCCTAAATAACTCTAGACAAACCTTTTTTCATCTAGGCGTCTCACCATGAACCTAATAGCCTTATCTCACTCCATCCTTTCGCGATTTGGTGTTCATATCCCCCTAGTTCTATACTTTTTTCCAGTTTAACATGTCCGAAGTCCAATTCAAGATGTCATGTTTGCATTTGGATAGTACCTCGCACAGTACAGAGTGAAAACATAGCAACATGACATCTTAAATTGATACTCGGACATCTTTAATTCATATTGTGATATCTTAAATTGGATTTCGGGTATTTTAAACTGAAAAAGGTTTAGTGTGCTCTCTTCCTCTCTAGTAGGGTCCTCTCCTTTCAATTTAGCCATTAATCGTTGCCTAATTTTAAGCTGACATTAACCCCCATTTATTTGACAGTGGCACCTCTTCCGCAGTTGGTCAAGTGAACGACCAAAGTAAATGATTTGTCCTTAGGGTTATGATTTTTGGCACTCTGTTCATTTGGAGAGTTCAATAGCTATTGTTGTAGCAGTATGAATTAAGTTATTTTTCTTTCTGCCGTTACCTGACTTTCAAACCCAGATTCGTCGTCGTCATGCGGCTCGAATCTATGCAGTTGATTTATTCACGACTGAAGTTGGCGGTCGTCTTCAACCCACTTGGGCGGAACAGTTATTAACTCGTCTGTGCTCAGTCCTGGATTACTTGCAACGTTTAGCCTGGGCTGGAGTCTCATCTGGTCGACATTGGCATCCCCGATCTGTGGAACGTATTCGCATTCCAGGATGGTTGCTCCTGGAACTGCGTATCCAGCTTTCCACAGCCTGCGGTTTGTCCGCTCGCACGCCTTCCGTTAATCGGTCTGGTTGGGCCCGATTGTGTGAACTGGCCCATGGCCCTGACTTCGGCGAATTAAAAAAGCGTGCATCAGTTTCGGACACACGTAAACGGGACACTTCATCGTCAAGTTCGTCTGAATCAGATAAGGAGGAACCGCGTAAGCCAGCACGTGCAGGACGCAAGCAACAGTTGGGTGGGGACTCAGGAAAAACAAAATTGGAGTCTGCTGCGACAGACACTGGATCAAAGTTGCCTCGCGAAAAACAAGGAGTATCCACTCCTTCCGCCAAACGTTCATTTCAAAGTGAAACCAAGCGCCCCGTCCTCCGACCCAGCCTCCGACTAACTCCAGCCTTCAGTGAGGTTACTCAGATCGCAGCCGAAGGTGCTCGTCGTGAGGCGGATCGTGATCCTTGGTTTATGCGAGTTCATCGACAACTTCTCAAAGCAGTAGACGATTGGGAAAATCGTTCTGTTCTCGTGAGTTTCTCTTCATTGATGGAGTATTTTCTGACATGATTCGTGCTCACAGTGGCTGAATTGACCAACTAAGTTGCGTTCTGAGTATACGGTTACTACGATTTACAGTGACTTCTGTCTTATCGAATTTGAAGAATAATCGGTAGAAAATGATTGTTTATAAACTATTACAAGTGGTTATATTATGTGTATTGGCCGAAAGAGAGTACCAGAAAGTTGATTGTATAATAATTCGGATGTCGTTGTCGTCGTCAGTATTGAGTGGCAAACAAACGAACTTTCGAGGTCTGTGAATTCGCTTAAGATAAACCAAGAAGTTCTACAATGAAGTGTTTTTGTTTGTTTTAAGCGGTGCACCGTTTTTGCACAATGAGTTTTCCCGTTTTCGTCGTTCCTCACTTTCCGTGTCATCCCTTTTCAGTATGTAATGCAGCGACTAACTCGGCACTGGATACCGCTGTTGGAACAACAAGTAGCCCGTCTTCCATCCAGAATGCACCTCTCTGATTACGGGGCTCGTCGCTTAATGGAATTACCGAGTCTGATAGTGGCTCCTAATCACGTCTCCGTGGGTCCTAGCTCAACTGGTGGAACCGCTAGCAGCGTAACTTCTTCGGTCCCTCCGGGGACAAACATCCTCCTTCCCTCGATCCCTTGCTTGGAACTCCCTGGGGAATCTGGACTGCTTCAATCCACCGGTGGTTTCCTGAATTCTTCTGCATTTCCGTACCCGGCCGCTCAAGGACCCTTAGCTGCTTCTGTCGGACCGAATCTTGCCTTACATTTGGTCATTGCTGAGGTATTTCCGCAAGTGGCTCGCATCCGATCATCCCCCAGCCATTTGGGTTGTCCTGCCCGTCGCTTAGGTATTCGTGCTAGTAACGGTCGTGTGTTCTACTATGACTTACCTGCACTGGGCTACTGGCCTCCTATCAACTCCTCCACATACCCGGCATTGGCTAGTGCTATGTCCATTCAGATCAATGCCGCAGCTGGAGCCCGCACACATAGTCTGATTCATGCTAAACCACGGGGGTCAAATATAGGTCCTCTAACACTAGATGGTCTCTCTCCAGCGCCGTACACAGGTTGGCGTCATGCAGGACCTCTGCATTTGTTCCAAATGATCAACGATGTGTTGGCTGGACAACCCGAAACTGCCAAACGCCGTCTAAGTTTGTTCACACCCAGGTCAGTCCAGTTTTTTTTCGTGTTTCGCTTTCTTAACCATTTATCTTTTTAATCTGAAGTCCATTGCTCTATTGATGATGTCCTTTTTAAGCGATTCTCAGTTTCTTAAGATGAAAAATTCTGAAACTGAGCGTTAACATTTGTGCCCTATTATTACTATTATTGTTAATAAATATTTTACTTTTTTTGTTTATTGCTTGTCGAAAATACAATAAACTTTCAGGAAGGGGACCGTGACTAAAGGAATTTTGCCTGGGGAAGTACAAATAATGGCAGGGTGGGTAGTGGTAGTGGGGTTCGAACTTAGTCTCGCAGGTGGTTATTCGGACGGCCTTACCAC